AAACATTGGCGGGGGTTAAGGAGAGTGGAAGCCAACTGCATTTGTCTGCCATAGTTCCCAGATTAAAATTTCACAATAGAGGTGCTGCAGCAGGAGGAATCATCCAAGGGCGTTTCAGCAGAAACCTGGGGAATGCTTTTTGACGGGACCGAGAATTTTGGCAAGAGGGGGAATCAATCAACCCTTCAGCAAGTCAATCAATTGCGTCTGGTCAATTGTGGATGTCTGTTCCGAGCCCAACAACGAATAAATCACGTATACGCTTCCCTGCCCACCGCTCAGCAACTATTCATTAAAGGCAGTTCCAGATGCTGACTCCTTGCGGAATTAGTTCCCCGTCAGAGCACCGCTCCGAGTGTTTAGTTGCCCATTAAATTATAATAGAAATTCAATTATTCGCTAGCATCGCTCTGGCTCTCAAAGGACCATCATATTTTTGGTACAAAGGGGAATGGGATACATGGATGGTTGGATGGGGGGAAATATTTTTTAATGGCATGCTCGTAAAAATTTCAGGCATTCTTTCCAGGTATGCAATCGATCATAATACAATTTTTGATATCGCTGTTAAGCCCGCTGCGAGCATAAAACTCACATTATACTAAATATCTAATGACCAAAAAGTATGCAAACCGAAATTTATACGGCTGTCGTCCCGGCTGCAAATGGCAATGGCTGCAGCGTGCTCCATTACCATTACCATCGGCTCTGCTCTGCTCTATATAGATGGATATGGATGCAATGCCATTCTCTGACTGTGCTTTCATCGCTCTTCCCGCGGAGCTCTGCTCTGAGGGAAGTATGCTATTAAAATTATACCTTGCTAAAAGGCGAAATTACAACCAAAGTTAACAAGAGCGACTGGGCTCATAAAAGTTTTCCATATTAATGAGTTTTTCCCTGCCAGCCCTGCCGCATCCATCCATCCATTGAGCGCATTAAAATTGTTCAAATGGATGGGAGTTTTGGATGCTTTCCGTTGGCTGGTGACCAACACTTGAGAGTGTCATTGACTGCGCGGCAGGCACTAGAGTTGAGTGCGTTTTCATAAGCCATTTAACGGTCTACAAAGCTGCTGTTCGTTGAAAATTGACTGCAGAGACAAAGAGAAATATAGAGAGAAAAAGAGAGAGAGCTGCTGGCCATCAACATATTGAGCAAGAGTAAAGTTTAGGCTGATTACTTATCATAATGAATGTGGGTTAAGGCAAGTGATAATTGGGTGATTGGTGTGGTCCTGGAACAGTGGAAGGAGTGGAAGAGCATATCAGGCCGCACAGTCCAGTGTAATGATTCGACCTAAATGCGTTAAAATATATATTTTACTCTACTCCACTATTTCCCCACTATTTCAGCCATCAACATATTTGTATGTATTTCGGGTAACGAAAAGTAAACTTGATGGTAGCTTAAAAAATGGATTTTCGTTTGGTTCGCAATTGCAGCATTCGCCAGCAAATTAAGGCATTCGAATATGTGTGTGTATGTGAACTCATATTGCTCCTATATGCATTCAATACGTACATACACATATATGTACATTTTCAATATACATTTCCATCAAGGTTACCATCCATCGGCCTGAGAACCAGAGGGAGGCAGCAGCTCCCTCATACGTTGGCTGCTATTTAAGCAACGTAACTTAAAATAATCGCACTCATATATAATCCGAGGCATGCAACTTTCAGCTCCTGTGCCAATGCCACACCACACACATCCTTCGTGTATATATGTGCATATATATATATGTATATATATATATGTCTGCTGCTCCTTAGCATAAGTAATAAATGTACTACGCCGCATGAGAGAAATCGCTTGGAATGGCAGGAAAATAAATTATCGAACTTCGATTTCACTAGTTCGTCCTTTCAGGCATTCTGCCATCCTGCCGTACAGCCGTACTGCCATCCAGCACCCCCCTCCCGACGCTCTAGTTTCAGTTTGTATTTTATGATTTTGTGCGCTCCTTCGTCTGTGTCTGGGTCTGGCTCTGGGGCTATATACTCGTACAACTTATATGTGAAAAGACAGAGGGCTCTCCCGCTGCATCCAGACGGATTCTGTCGGGTTGTCTCTCCTTTCAGTTGATAGTTTCAACTAAATTTAACTTAAATAACATACATATTAGTGTATTTAATGTGGATCTGTGCTCGTAAGTGTTTGTCTGTGTGTGTATGTGCTTGGGTAACCTGAACCTATGAAGGGGTGGCTGGGAGGAATTTGATTGTTGGCTTTTGGGGCTTTTGAGGTTAGGCAAATATTATTATTTGTCTGCGTATTAGATTTCGATTCCAGCTCGGGTCCAGCAAGGTCATTTCGCTAAGCGTTTCATCACACACACACACTTATACACTTTTATCAACGGTATTCTTGGAGCTCAGAGGTATATTCGCTAATCCGTATTCACAGTTCTAAGGTATCCATCAAGGCTGTGACTTATTCACCCTCTGAATAGTGGGTATCTTATAGTCGGCAGGTTCGTGCTAGATTCAGTCTTTGTGCTTGTTTTTTTTTTACAAATTGAACAATTGAACAGCCAGCCAGCCAGCTCTCAAGGCTAACAAATTGAGCGATGTCGCATGCAGTCGAGTCGAATTCAATTTGTGTTGCATACTTAGGGGGACTCAGAGCTACTTTGTGTATGTGTGTGAGTCTGTCTGTTTTTGTGTCTTCTGTATGTGGTTGGGTCCTTGCCAGGCAAACGTTCAACACCGTCTCATTAATCATGCTGGCCACACACGCACACACTCACAGAGACAACATGTGACCTCCTTCTTTTTGTGTGTGTGTGTGTGTGTGTGTATGTGTCTCTCTGTGGATTGCAGCTTTATTCTCTTTTTTTTTTTTTTTTTTCTTTTTTTTTTTTGATTAAAATTCAACTTTTGACTCGTGCATTGTAATGGCTGACATCATTTGCTTGCCGCTGCTGACCACCTGTGTCACAAGCTCAGGCAGAAGAGGGGAAGCCACAGCTTTGTGTAACTTTCTCAGTTTAGTAATCTTTCAACAAAAAACAAACGTGCCATTTAGTTGGGCGAATTCCGTCATACACTTCCATGGGCGAAACTCGTCTAGAGTTTCTCTCCTCCCTCTATTCTCTCTGGCAATTAAAACTCTATTATTTACAGACTGGTTTAATCCTCAATTCAGAGCCATAAATATTTTATGCACTCAAATAAATTCAAAAATATTTCACAGTTTCAAAGTTATATTCAGAAATTGTATTTCCTTTGATTGATATTTATTTATTAGTGCTTTTGGGGCTGCCACAATAATGTTTGAATATCAGTTTTCCAATTCAGTTGGAAGCTTTAACTTGAGTGAAATGAAAAATGTGTTATTTCATCTTTTTGGGGCCGTATATAATCCATGTGACCATAATCTGTTAGTGAATGAACTCCATTGAGTGCGTACTTATTTTCAAACGGCACATGCATACATACATATATGTATACCTATGGAAAACGGTCTGGCAAAAGTTCTCCATTTGATACATTCCATTTTGTTGGCGTTTTTGTTGGGGACTCAGCTTGGCTACAATTTTGAACTTTTCGTCGGCGGTGTGATATTCGGGCTATTCATTTATTTAAAAAAAGAGAACGAACCTTTATTTATAAAGAATTCATTTTGGCCGCCTGCTCTTAGGGTTCGTGGCGGGGTCTCCGGCATTGTTCAGCTGTCACGTCCGTCATCAGCATCAGCTGTCGGCCTCTGGACCGGGACCCAGACCTGGACCTGGACCTGGACCCTGCCTTTACCCATACCTATACCAGTGACTCCTGCTCGGACACTCTGATCTACGTGCTGTATGCTGTGTGGAACTCTCTGTCCCTGTGTGTGTGCTTCTAATGTTTTGTTGGCTTTCATTACATGCATTCATTCCTGATGTCCGCTCACTCAAATTGCCATCAGTGGCAGTGGTCGGCAATGTTTGCATTTGACAAATGACAAACTCCACGAGCCTTGGCCTCTGCTCTCTCGTTTTTGGGGGTAGGGGGTAGCTCCGGTCCAACTACTAATGATGTCATTAATTTTGCACAATTTTTAATGCGTTTGCAATTGATTTCGCCTGCCCGCCAGCCTCCCCCACTAAAAGCCTCTTCAAATGTTTGTAATAGAAATTGCACAAAAAGGATTCTCTTTTCTCGTTTTCCTCCTTTTTTCGGTGTGTGGGCAAATAAAAGAAAAAAGCATTTGCCAAGCAAATAAAATGAGGGGGGCCGCAGCGTCAAATTTGCTTTGGAGCTATGCTAATGCAGCGGCAGCTGCAGCATCAGCTTCCTTGCTGCCAGCCACTTTGCCCCCGGACTAACGAGGCTACCCCCAATGGCTACCCCCAATGGCCATGGCAATGGCAATGGCAGTGGCAGCAGCAAAATATTTGCGCTAATTGAGATAAAATACAATTTAATGGGCATGCAAATGGAGATGGTTTCCTTTGATAGAATTTCCACAGAGATATTTCTTTGTATCCACTTATTACTTCTATTACTTAAACCCTGCCCTAAACGAATGCCCAAATTAAATATATAATTAGCATTGACAACCGAAAACTGTACTGAAATATTCATTCAGTCACAATTTATATTTCAATTTATTCGGTGCTACTCGCAAAAGATCCAGGTAAGACCGACCTGAGAGCTGGAGAGGGTACATTAAAGGAAAACTGAGCATCTCTCTTCCTCTGCCTGTTGCTCGTTATTTGCGTGGCTGTGTGTATGTTAATTCAAGATCACTTTATCTAAAACTATACATAAAAAACTTGACAAATAATATGGAATAAGTCCAAGCTATAGCGGAATTTTATAGAACAATTAGTTGAACAAATTGTGCAGACAGATTGCAGATACAAATCTTTCTGCTGCGTTTCAGCTGAGTGACTGAATGGTGTAATTGTTGCCAAAGCAATTGATACAAAATGTGTCTTTCATTGAAATCAATTGCACGCCAATTTCCATTATACGGCGTAGTCAAGTGTACCTATATAATGACCATAAATACCTCAAAATATTCTCTTAAATACGAGCCATGTCCGATCTGTGTTTAGTGTTCAATCGACCGACCAGGAGCCACGATGATGGTGATGATCCTCTGGATATTGCTAATAGCCTCGTCACAAGTGGAGAGCAAGTTCAAGAGCCTCCACTGCGAAAGCTATGACCATAGCCATGGGGAGTTTTCTCTGTGCAAAATAAAGGCCATCAATCGGTACAGAAACTCGATCAGCACTACGTATCTGAACAAGGAATTTGTCCCCAATCGCGTAACCGTGAGTTATCCGTCATTAAAACATTGCATGATGTTTATACACCCACAACTGGTTTACTCGCAGGCTCGCTTGGAGTTTTTCAAACGAGCTAATGGCTGGCGACCTTTTCTATACAACATCACGCTGAACGTATGCGACTTCTTGGATAGGAAGAAGACCAAGCCTAATAGCAACACCATGACGATTTTCCGCATAGCTGCGAGCTACCTCATGCCGTACTTCAACACTAGCTTCACCTGTCCTTTTCAGGTGATCTCATTCTGAGTGTTCCCAATATTTCCATAATTTTGTAAGCCTTTCTACCACTTTTTCCATAGCCAAATACGGAATATAAAATTGAGAATCTGGAGTTCGATGTGGAGAAGTTCCGCATTCGTTTTCCCATTGAGACGGGCGAGTATGCTCTAAATTTCGGTTTGTATCACAAAAAGATACTTGGCTTCACAATTAATGGCTCCTTGGATTACTCCAACTACAGAGAGCACTGAAATCAATAAATTCAAAAATGTACAGCATCCATGAGACCCCCAAAAATCATTCACTGAAAGTAGTAAAGAGGGGATTCTAATCTCGATCTATTATCGAATTAGTTGAGAGGGCAGCGGTTAATCTTGAATCTATTAATCGTAAAACGCCGCCAATTATCTAGTTAAATAAAAAAAAACATTATCAAACATTTTTTAGCACTACTGTTAAAATTTGTATTATTTGTTAAAGGGCGAGAATTATGAAAAATTACTGACCAGGTGCTTAAAATAAATCTATACTGAAAGAGATCCACCAGTAAAGAGTAAAGATTTAAATTTATTTAAAGTACTTGTTTTTCAAAATAATCTTTAAATTTAAAATAAATAATGGCAAGCAAAAATCGAATCGAAATTGTGGAATTAAATATATTTCTGAGGTCTTTTTGTGAGTGCAGATGTCTCTGCAGCACTCTTGAAGCTCTCCTAGCAATAGGAGTAATAGTATCCTTTGGCAACATTTATAATAATTTAAAAGAGTCCCCCCCCTTGATGCAACAAAAACCTCATCGCTCAATGTGCCAATTGTCGGGGCAAGTGGAGGCGAAAGAGAAGATTCCTTCGATGTAGCCAGATGTGGCAGAACAAGAGACAGCATCAGCCAGACCCAGTTTACCAATGACAAGCTGAGCAAAGACAACACAACACAGCACAGAACAACTGAAAATTGACTGCATTTTTCGCCACAGTTCCCCAGTTTGCTTGTTCAATTTTCAATATGCATTTCCAGGGCTGTGCTATGGCAAACGAAGGAATCAGATCAAACAACAAATAAGCAAACAAGCAAACAAGCAGCAATAAAGCTGTTTCCCTGTCTTGTCTCATATCTCTGCCAAACTGTGGCATCCACATCCCAATCCACTCCATTCCCCTGAACCGCTTAACCGCAAAAAGCTAAAAACTGACAAAACGAATGGCAGAACCAATTGCTGCGAATTGCGGTCAACAGTTTTGATTGTTTTTGTGGCCATGCTAAGGGGGCCCACAGTCCACAATCCACAGTCCACTTCCAACTGCTGTCTTCTGGCGGCTGTTAAACAAGGCCAGCAGCTGTAGCAGCGGGCCACACACTCGAACAGAAATCAAACATTGAAACATTCGCAATTTCCCCAACTTTTGCTCGGCTCTCGTTATGCACTTACAATCAATTTGCGGACATAAATTCAGCTGCCACGCCCAGCTCTCATTCGCTGCCACTCCGCTCCCGTCAACATCAGCCGTTTTTGACGCATCTTGTGCACGTCTGTGCGACGGGAAATAAAAACAAGGAGCGCACCATCCCAAGCCATACAAATCCGAAAACACTCAAAAAAAAAAAAGGAAAGAAAATCTTCAACATAATGGCGACGCTTTACAACCCTTTGCTGCAACAAATAAAAATTTATGGCTTCGCTAAGAGTGGAGCCACACACACGGAGGAGATGTATGCGTATGCGAATGCGTATAAGAAATGCTGCGAAATAATATATTGGCTAATAATCGCATGATAATGCCCGAGGATTTCTGCCCGGCTGTGGCAAAAGTTCTCGCACACTCGTGGGACACGCTGCGTATACGCAATCTTCATTTTTGGGAGCGCCACTCAATAATGCTTCTGTTTATTGGGTGGAATCGGAGGGGGCTGGCTGGGTGAGTGGGTGAATGGTGGGGGCGTGCCAACATTAATAATGACAACTCGTTTATGGCCGCATCAAAATGGGGCTCAATGGCCGGGCTTACAAGGACCAGGCACCCAACCCCGTTCACCATTTGGCTTACCCCATCCTAATTGCAGTGGAGTCCCAAAAGCCAGAAGACAACACCCCATTGTCTGTATGTGCAAAAGGATGTATGTACGTACGTACGTACGTATGTATATATGCATGGCCCTGCGGCAAAAGTCTGATAAGCTAAGGAAAAAAAAGAGAGTGTAAGAAAAACATTGCAGGAGTTGCATTTAAGTGCAGTTCTCACATCCTGCATGTCCTTGGCTGCAGGCGCGCAACCCTAGTGCCGGAATGAAGGAGTGACGGAATACGGCAGTACGGGAGTACGGATAAGTGCCTACGGATAACTACACCCTGTAAGTGGAGTGCATGTACATAAAAACTTATCCCAGCCTTATTATCTACGCTCTCTACGAGAGTGAGTGCGAAACCGAACGAATGGAGAAGGGCGAGCACGCGGTACAGGGAACTTTGTGTCCGGAGCTTCCCGGAACTTGAGCTGGAAGATGCAGCAACTGAAATCAATCTTAAAGATCTTAAAGAGAAACTGTATCAATGGGTAGCAGGGTAACCAGTCTTCGTGCTGGCCTCCATTGCTGTGGCATTTGCCACAGTTCGCTTGCTGATTGCTGCTTGGTTCACCATCATTGTTGCACTGCCAGTGGCAGTGGCAGCCTCGTGCCGCATCGGAGGTACAACTTTCGAGCAACTTGCAACTTTTAACGCTTTTAGCTGTTGATAGTAGCCAGAAAAGTTTGGGGCCAACCGTTATCTCACTGCCTTGCCTTGCCTTGCCTTGCCTTGCCTTGTCTCGCTCTCAGAGGCACGTGCAAAATCCCTAATTATGACACAAGAACTATTCCCCCAGTCCCCTCCCTACGCTCCACAGAGCAAACTATTTAGCTTATAGTTACTTCAAAAATCGTTTTGTTTACGCTTCACTTTTCTTCAGCTCCCCTCTCCACCCACACACTCTTGCCCACTCGCCTGCTTCTCCTGCTCCTCTGGCTATGCATTTTTCATGGCATTTGTCTGAAGCGTTTTCATGCTGTGTCCCGCTTTGCGTCGTCATAGAACAGGATAACCAGCAGGAGCGATTTAGAAGGCATTCCGACTGAATGATACCCTCTATTCTAGCAGTAAGAGCAGTAACATTTATCAAAAAAATCATTTTAAGGAGTTCCCAAAAGTATACTCCTGGAATTGAGTTCGGTTTGCTCCGCCCCCATAGTTTTCCATCTAAAAATACAAAAATACAGATCAAAATCGCTTCCTACTCCCAGTTACATGGGTTTGGGTGAACACATGATACCCTTTTGCCCTGCGGATACCGCGCATGAGAATAGAGCGGAGAAAGAACGGAGCACATTTCGAAAGCATAAACGCACAAAATGTGTCAACCGCAATATGCTTGGTGTGTAAACAGGGCCGAGGCGACGGCGGCGGCTGCGGCCACATGCGGAAATCACTAAAGGCATTTCCGTGCACAAGCAACAAATGCTATATAAAAATCATGAAGGCGGCGGCGCTTAGGCCACAGCTACTCGCCGACCACATCCCGTCACTGCTGTGGCCGCGCACCTACACATATGTATATGTATATGTATAGATAAGCCAGCCAGGATAAACGAGCGTTAGACTGGAGCCGAGGTCAATGGGTTGTCCTGGCAGTCGATGTGGATGCCATGCCTTAAAACGTCAGAGATGATCGCGTGATTGTCATGGAACATGAAATACTCGAGAGGAACCTCTGAAAAATATTCATTCGTACACGAAATAATCTTTATGACTTACTCTGAATACCCTGTGAGTCATGTGCTATGAGCAAAAGTTTAACTATTCTTGTGAGCCACTAAGTGCACCTCTAGTTTCGGTTTTCCGAGTCCTGGTATACTGGGCTGCCGTTTTTTTTCCTTCGTAAATGTCAGCCATACTTGTCATAATACAGGCCACACACACACACATACCCAGATGGAGGCACCCATCAAATGCCGCAACACTTTGACTTCAAGTCTCGGGCATTCCGAATGCCTCAAAACAAACCTGACATCCCACACACACACACACTGACTCAAGATTTGTTGTTGCTTATAGCCGTAGCGTAGTATGTGTGGAATATTTCTAAAGGAATCCCACCATCACCCCTGAGAACTGAGCTGCCCCAGCTCCACCCCCATTCGGGTCTCAGCCATGCAAAATATGCCAGCATTATAAAACTTCAATCTACTCTAAAGAACTTGTTTATGCCTGCCTCGGATATACATATACATATGTAGGCAGCAATGATGGCTTGGGGGTGGTGGTGTGGCTATGGTGGCATGGATTGGAATGGTGGGGAGTCGGGTCGCCTGTTTGGCATCGTCTTTGGCACCCAGCTTACAGCCGCCTCTCTGCCGAATAGTTTTCGTGCATCTGTTTAAATCGTATGCTCCGCCTCTCATCCGCCTCACACCCCCAAGACGCAGACCCACAAGCTAAGCTCAGATTTTCAGTGTCCGATAATGTTTGTCTGGGCGAGTCTGTGGATTTGCATGACAAGATGGTGATCATTGCAGTACTCGTATTTATTTTTTGCGAGTATCTTTGCATTTGTAGACTGGTGGGCTAAGTGCAAATCTCTTGAACCACTGCTGACAGATGGGCATGCAGACAGTATACGAGTATATTCAACTAGCGTTAGCTTTTTATACCATTCTACATTTAAGCAGGATACTGCACAATAAACGGTAGAAGAATACGCCAAAGTTTCGTGGACTGTGTAGCCACAGCCCTTTCATTATAAAATATATATTAGATTTGAACAAAAAACACACAAGTGGGATTCCATTATTTGTAATAAATATTTATAAAAGTCTGTTTCTGAAAAGTCTGATTAAATTCAATTTCACTTTGTCATTAGGTACTATTTAATTTCATTTTTGCTGCCTTTGATTTTGTTCCTTATGTAAAACATAAGTAATACTAAAAACAGAAATCAATTAATATTCCATAATTCCATTAACATTAAATATGAAAAAAGTCCACCTCTTTAATTACGAGGTACGAAATAAATCTAAAATGATCGCAAATTTTAGCTTAGATTTACCATTTGATGGCCTCGTTGGGCCAATCTTTTCTCAATGAATTGATTACGACTGGACTCTCATTTCATTCCAGAGCAAAACTCCATGAATATTTATATGCAATTCCGTAAATTGCTTTTTCCTGAGCAAAAGCCAACCCAATCCAACACGATATTAAACGAAATAAAACGATTAGTTACCACTTTAAATGTGTCAAAGGTTTATTCCATTGGTCAAATTACAAAGTAATCAAAGCGTAATAATAGACTTAAGCCATGCCCTCAATGCAGTGGCGGGAGTACTGCAATACAATGCAATATTCCTATTTATGTATGCGTGTATAAATTTATGTATGTATTTATGGTATTTATGTTACAAAGTTATGCAATAGAATTGCTTTAAGTACAAAAAAATCATTTAGATTGGAATTCCTTTACTCAAAGGATTCCAAAGCATTTGGCACAAAGAACATCTTAGAGTACATATAACTAAGGAATTATCTGGGTTTTTGGTCTTTTTTTAGTTTGCCAGCTGTATGGTTGGGGAGGGGAGGGTAGGTTGTGCTGTCGACTTATGAAAATATTTACAATGAGAATGCAAAATGTCAAAGTTCCATTTGCATTAAATAAAACATACAATGAGAGAGAAATCTGGGCATCCACAGCGACAGAGGAATGCACTTTAAGAGCATTTTTGCTTTAAGCTTACAAAAATGCCAAAGTGTTGCCCGAGAAACAATGCGAAGGCGAGGGGACAAAAAAAATAAACGAAAACTACACAAAAATTGTATTTCTATTTATTCTGGCATTTCCCTCTCTCACGCTCTCTCTGAGGCTCTCGTTTGGATCTGCTTGCTTGAGTGGAAATATAAAAATTACTTGGTTTACATCCACAAGTCCACAGCCGCGGAGGAGCAGAGCACGATGACGGAGAGGGGGTCCAAGCTGGTCACGCAACATCCTAGACAAAGTAATAACACTTGACGCACGTCTGAGCTTCCTGCTTCTGTCCGAAGGACGTGCCCAAAGGCGCCCATGCGGGTGGGTCCGGTCCGGGTCTGGGCACCTCCTCCTCAGGTGGTGAAAACTAGACGAAACTCTCCTGACGTGTTAAATTGAATTTGAGCAGCGACGACGACGCCTTCGTTCTGGCACTCGACACAGAATTGGAGTTGGAGCTGCAGTTGGAGCTGGTCTGTGCCTCAGGCGTCTGATGGCTACTGCTGAAGGTTCCTGTGGCCGTGGCCGTGGCTGGGGATGCGGCTCCACTGACCAACAGCAGCTGCTCCTGCTTATGTGCCTTCAGTAAATGTCGCGCCAATTGCGATATATCCCCCGCATAGCTGCCATCCAACTGACCAGCAGAATCGGCAGAAGCAGCAGCAGCAGCAGGGGGGGAGCCGTAGCCTGAGGATTTTGGCAGGGCCAGAGATTGACGCAGCAAATCGGGCAGATGCCACTGCTCCAGCAGCTCGGCGCCAAGGGTGGGCGAATCGTTGGCCAGACGCGTCAGAGTGTGCAGAATGGTCTTGATGCTGCGGCGCTGGGCATCGCATTCGGCACGTGATCCATAGGTCTTGTAGAATTCCGTTTGGTAAACGGACGTGATGAAATTTATGATGGTGCCGTTGGCCAAGTGGCTGTGGCACTTCTTGTTCAGCGACATGTTGTGCAGCATCCCAACGATTTGCTCCTGTGTATAACGATATAAAAAGAAGACGAGAGAGATGTTGATGAGCAAAAAATAAGCAACTCAAAAGAGCAAGCAAGTACGGAGTGGGGGGGGGGGGCAGGGTGCGGCTATGAAAAATCGTGGCCAAGATTGGGCAAAGAAATCGCTTTGCAAATGCACAAATAAATTTTACGAGCCTGCCCCCCTCCAGGAAGCTTTCAATAAAATTGCTCAAAAATCGCACGGGGCTGCAGCATATCGAACTCCCACTCGGATCCACATCCTCTCCAATGAAAAATGGGAAATGGGAAAAGGGAAATGGGAAATGTTTTGCTACTTACATAGAGGAACACACTGATGCCACAGCTCTGGTGCTCCAGCGTGGCTATCAGCCGGAATATTGCCTCGTTGGACATGATGGAGTAGTGGGAGGTGACCTCCATGCGGCTCAGGTTGTTCAAGGCCGCAGCGCACAGCAGCAGGGTCTGGGCACAGCAGTCGGGCTGGAGAAGGTCGGCCAGACCGGCCACTAGGGACTCGGCGCAGTCCCTCAGGCCGGGCACCCGGTGCTCAGGTCCGTGCCAGGCGGCAGTGATTTGGGCCAGCAGAGAGACTGCTTCGCGCCTCTCGATGGCGCCCCGCTCCCCAGCGGCCTCCACCTGTAGGATATCGCGCAAGATCTCGATGCCGCCGCAGCCGCCCAGCTGATTGATGGCCTGGGGCGCACAGCAGAGGGTGGCCAGTGCACGAAGGGCGAGGGCGCGCACAGAGCTGTGCTTGTGGTCCAGCACGATGACGAGCAGGGTGCGCACAGCCTCGTTCTGGACGAAGGCGTCCGAGAGAGAGGCGAAGCCGTCGTAGTCGATGCCCATCAGCGTGGCCACCATATTGATGTTGGCACGCAGCAACAGGTCGCAGCGGCTCTGCTCGATGCTCAGCACAAGGACGCGCACCAGGCGCTCGAATATCAGGCGCAGCGTGATCAGAGTGTGCCGCTTCAGCAGCTGCACGTCCTCCAGCAGCGACTCCAGACTGATGTAGTGCTGGCGCTCTAGGGAATACCGCGTGTCCCGGCTCACCGTGCGGATCTGCTCGAGATGCTGCTCGTAGCGCCGTCGCTCCACACGCGCCTCATTAAAGAAGATGGCCCGCCGCTCCAGAGTGCCAACGAAGTCGTCGAGGTGCCCTAGGAGCTGTCCAGCTCCGGTCAGAGCCTCCGGCAGGGTGGTCGCCTGCATTCCACCGAGCACTCGCTCGCTGCGCTCGAAGTGCGCCTGCAGGGCCAGCGACTGCTGCTGCAGCTGGCGGACCAGCTTGGAGACGGCACTGGTGGTGATGGTGAAGTTCTTGTACGCCTCCTGGGCGATGGACTTGTGCTGGAGGGTGCACATCACCTCCTGGTCCACGTTCCAGCGCTGATCGGCCATCCAGCTCTCCACTGGCGCGGGCTGTGTCCTGTGCGCCCTCTTCGTTGGCTTGCTTCTGCCCTTGGGTGTGCTCGTGCTCGCCGTGAAGCGAACAGCGGAGTGCACGCGCAACGGGGAAAGCAGGCCAGGGAGCAGTGTCTCCTCCGGGTCGCCGCTGCCACCGAAGGTCACTGTCTCATTGTTGTAGGGCGGTGGGGCCTCGCCCAGATACACGGTCTCGTTGTTGTACGGCGGCAGTGGCTCCTTCACATCCTCATCCTCGCTGGCCGACAGCTCTTCCGGCTCGGGCTTGGGCTTGCGAGCCAAGCGCCTGCGGCGTCGAATGGCCGGACGTGGCGGCGTGGTCGACTCGATGGTAGTATCTTTATCCTCCTCTGCGTCATCGTCCAGCTTCATGCTGTCCAATTGATTAAACAGGCGACTGCGGCTGGCCTCCAGCTCCCCATCCTCGTCAGCGTCCTCCGCTGTGACCGCTTTGGGCGTCCTCTGTCCACTGGTGAACGAAATGCGACGCGTAACGCTGATCAGCGGCGAGTAAAACGAGGAGTTTCCCACTTTCCGCACCACAGTGGGCGGCGTGGCCACGGAATGGACGGACCCGGGCGAAGCCGTGGGCGTTTGTGTTTCATCTGGTGTCTCCTTTTGCAGTTGCTGTTGCAGCACCAGCTGGTGGGATTCCTCATTGTCCGAGAATCCCGAATCCTGCGAAAAGTTCAATATTAGCATGAGGAATGATTGGGGAAAGCATTGATATCGAATGAAGTATCGTTGATGTGCCGATAAATCGATTTTCAGATAATTCGATCAATGTCTTTCGATTCAATTTCCTTCGAATCGTCTCTCACCTGACTGCGCAGACTGCCGGGACTGTCCTGCTTGTGCCACGACGATATCTTGGAGTTGTTCTGCTCATCCTCCACCTCCTGGATGCAGGACAGGTTGCCCAGCAGCGACGAGGGCTGTCTGTGGCTGTTGTTGCTGTACTGCGAATAGAAGCCGCCGCTGGTTAGGGATGAGAGCGATGGCAACGATGAATGCTCTTGGCTGTCGGATCCCCACCAGACCTTGCTGTAGCTCCGCTGAAATGACATTCCTGTCAAACGGGGGAAGGGAAGACAGAGAGAAAGAGAGAGAGGAGAAATCAGTGATGTTCATCAATTAAATAAATTGGCCTCATTCATTTAATGGCCTTAAATTCATTAAATTTAATGCAATTGCCACCTCGATTCCTGCCTCGATTCCCAGACTTCACAGCTCCAGGGGTCATTCGCCTCCTACCCGCAGACAGGACTCTCGCAGTTCGGTAGCGGCAGTGTGGACGTGAGGTGAGCTGAGTGGAGAATGCACACACATGCCTGAGCATTGGCTTAATATCCGTTGCAAAAAAATTAAATTTCCGCCCCAACGATACAAATCATTATTTTAATCAATGAAATGCTCTGCGACCCGAGCACCCAGCACCCATCCTCCCGCAGCTGCATAAAACATCAAATTTAAATGTTTATTTAAGCAAAGTTTAAGGCGAGAGCCAAACCAAAAGTTGAGTCCACATTTTGGGCCATCAAAATGACATTTGGCATATGGCCCAGTGTCCTGCCCCCCACCACACCCCACCCTGTATATATTATTGTACAATAATTTCCAAATAATTGATGTGAATGTCCCAAATTGTGGGCATTTATGTAGATTTCACCACCATCCACAAAATCTGTAGAGCGACACCTGGCGGGGGTCTGTGTGTGTGTAACAGTTGTAACGGTATATGTAAATGCAAATGAAAATGATTTTTGGATAGTACTGTACAGTGTACACACACAGACCAACATTCTGTTTGTGTGTATCGGGAGGAGAGGAACTCCTCTCCTCTCTATTATGCAAATGAAATAAACTAATTATCCTGCAAAACAATTTTCGTGTGACAGCGCAGAAACCAGACTCGAGTCGAGTCGAGCGAGTCGAATATTCTGGTTTTATTTTATGCTGCCGTGGGTTTTGCACTTTGCAGCTTACATATTTATTAATGTTTGTTTATGGGCCACGGCCATAATTACACAATGCGTGCGTTGGCACCTCCTCCGTGGAGTATTCAACTATTTGTGTAATGCATCAGTGGGCCAAGCTGATTTTGCATTCCATGCGCCCCCCTTGCTCTCACTCTCTTCGCTCCCATTGTGTTGGAACAAATATTGACAAAGTGCTTGTTTCTGGCAAACAACATGACGATACATTTTTTTAAGCTCTATGCTTTCTGCACTACTTTGCCCTGTCCCCCGGGTATGGTTACTGAATTAATTAAACAATTAATTAAAACTATATTCAATTAGTGCACAAAATGCACATTGCAAATAAAAAAGAGCTGCAAATATTTACAGGCCAATTCGTTTTGTATTGTTTTATTTTTAAATTAAATTTAAAACATTTCTAATGCATTTTTTAAAATAATTTTCGTACCTTTAGTTTGGATAATGCAAAGGTAGACGGAGTGCTGTTTTTATTATATTTACGATCTGCTGATGACTTACAGCATCGTGAAATCTACTATAATCTAGGAAATGTTCCACCGAGCGCAGCTCTAAGCCTTCATCCATAGTTACAGGGTATAAATATTGTTTTTCACACTTATAAATAGCATACATATGCATCCTTCCCACATATGTAACCTTGGTCACCACTACATTGCAGGGTATATAAATTAAAAGCAATATCCATGCGCCATGGGCTAATTAATGGAGAGCTCTTTCAGCTTCAGCTTCAGTTCGAGTCCCATCCCATGGTCTGAGCCCTGTCTGGGATAAATCGCCTCTGCTCTCGCCCAATAAATACTCCACAATTTCCGCTGGCCAAAAGAGGATTAACAATGTTGCAAGGCGATAAAAATTAACGATACTTAATACCAATATTGAAAACCATTAAGAGATTTATGGTCAGGAGCCATAGTCCGACTCTGTCGCCGCTTTAATAGCTCTCTCCCTTAAGCGATGAACGCCGGACACTCGTGGCACATACTACACATTGGTTTATTCAGTTATGTAAAATATATAGATTTATTCTCGTTAATTTTGTATATATACACATGAGCATCTCTTAGAATACGTAAACGCACTTTATAATACAGAAAAACAAACAGAGGCGCACACCACACAAACATAGACAACAACTGAGTTTTGGCTACATTTTCCTGTTCCATTTCCTCCTCCACCCCGCTCTTAAAAATTTCGATTTAAAATTAAATAGAACTTCGGTTAAGGCCACACACAAAAAAGTCAGTGAAAAGATAGAATCGAAAAAACGAATTACGAAATTGTCGCAGAAAAATAGAATGAAAGCAAAATACAATAATTATACATTTTAATGGGCAAAACGGTAAACATTTGTTGTTGCCTCTGCCCCAATGTCTGTCTGTGTCTGGCTGTGTCTGTGTGTGCGTGTGTGTTTTGGTGGAGGCGGCATAGGTAGAGTCGCGGTGCGGGGGGGGGGAGGGCCAGCCAATTAGGGGAGGCGCCACATAAATTTTAATATCGAATATACGTATTCGTTTTCGTTTAATCAAGATAAACGAGCGCCGAAGCACACAATTTTTGCAACAAAGTCAAAAGAGTGGAAGGCACGCGAGTACATCGGTTGCAGATACAGATACATATACAGACACACACAAATACAGATACACACACTCAAGCAGCGGTAGCCAGCGAATCCAGTTCCCTGTTCCCCCATTATGAGTCCTCCTCCCATTTTCAGTGCGGCAAATCGTTGAGCACCAGCGTAGACTTGTAACTGGGTGCCTGAATGAGGGCCGTCTTGGTGGTGGTGGTGGTGACCTTCCCATTGGTGTCCGCATGAACCAACTGGCCGCCGGCATTGGAGAGCTGCTGCTCCTCCACATAGCCCACCGTCGTCACCTGGACACTGGTCTTGGTTAGGCGATGGCTAGTGCGCTGCTGCTGCAACGGCGAGCGCGACCTGGAGACCGTCGAATCGTCGTCACTGTAGTCGCTGGTCAAGGCGCTGCCGGTCCGACCGGAGCTGTCGTACGAGTACTGCGTGTGGTAGGTGCTGCTTGGCTCCCCGCCACCGCCGCCAGAGACGCGGCCCAGCTCCGGCTGGTGCTCTTCCCCGTGGTTGTTGTTCGTGTGGCTGCGATTCTGCAGCGTTGTGGTGGAGGCGGCAGTGATGTCCTCCTCGGATATGTCGTCGAAGGCTGGCGGGGGCGTGGACATGCCCGACATCATCGTGAGGACACCCGGCCGTCCCGATCCACCGGCGGGAGTGCTCTGCGTCGGCGTGCGCGTCTGAGGGGTGCGCAGGAGCTGGCTGGCCGAGGTCTTGCGCTTGGAGGGGGAATGTTTCAGTGGAAACGTGGGCGTCTTTTTGAACACCTGCTTGCCCATGGCGTCCTGGAAGCGCTTGGCGTAGAAGGAGGGCCGGCACACGGACACCGTGTCCCCGTTGTAGAGGATGCTCTTGAAGGTGTGCTCCAGCTTCTTCTCCAGGCGGTACGACTGCAGAATGTCGATGATGCCGATGTACAGAATGAGCCGTTCGTCGTTCTCAGATCGGGCGGGAATGCCGCCGGCCGGCACGTCTTCGTCCTCCTCCAAAGTCACGTCCATATCGGCCGTGATCGACTCCATGGCTGTGGAATGGGCCACCAAACGCTGGCGGTTCATGCTTCGCGTCCGATTTAGGGCCGCACCCGAGGTGCCCGGAATGGAGGCGTAGGAGGCCACTGCATGCAGCTGATTCTGGTCCGACTCGGGGGCGTCATCGTCCAGATGGGCGTTAGAGGCGGTCTGGGCAGCGCTCTCCTTGCGCTGCAGCTTGGCCCGCGCATTCCGGATGCGATCCTCACGCTTTTCCTTGGCCGCGATGTCCAGATTATGGATGCCCACCAGCAGCGAGTAGTCCATGATCTGGAAGCTCTCCAGGACCATGCAGTCGCGCTGGATGGTACGCATCAGCGCATTGTACTTGTCCGTCTCGAGGAAGATGCCGTTCGGATGGTGCTCGGCAAAGTCCAGGTCCTTGAACGTGGGACTGGCCTTCTGGCGCTCCGCCTTGGAGGCCTTGCGCCGGAACGACGAGCCCTTCAGGTCGTACTTGCAGTGCATCTTGATGTCCGATGGCAGCAGGTTGTTCATGGCCACCAGACGCACGTTCTTCGAGTTGTAGTGGAAGCAGTAGAGACCAAAGAACTTGGGTAGCAGCGTGCGCGGATTCTGGGAAAGGTTCATGTAGTAGCCGGGAAGCAGCTTCTGCAGGAACTCGCACTCCTTCTTCTGGACAGTCTTGATGATGAACTCGTCGTCGTCCGTCAGGTAGAAGATGGATCCGGAGGCACCCGGGTTGGACAGCTCGACCAGCGGGGAGGCGCACATGGACATGAGAAAGTCGTCGGGTGCGATTCCGAACAGGTCCCGGAAGTAGCGGAAGGCGATTGGGGCGTACACCTTGAACCGGAAGTCGCTGTAGTGGTGCGCCGGCGTGATCGAAGAGCCGTCGGGCGGGAACGAGATGGTCTCCATCTCCCAGAAGTCGTTCATCAGCAGGTCCCGCTTCGGCTTGCTGGCCAGGCTGCCCACCGTATGCTGGATGCCCAGCTGGATTGAACCCATGATCTGTTTCGACTGGATCTTCTTGTAGGTCACCTCCCCGCCCTCGGCCACGCGACGGTGACCGATCTTCTTCTCCTGCTTTCCGCCCGTGGTCGAGGGATTGCGCGACACGCTAGCGTCCAGCGTGGAGCTGGCGCTTCGCAACTTGTTCGCTGGCGTCTGGCTGGCCGCGATGATCTGCAGCTCCTGCTGCAGCAGGCCCGTCGACTCCAGCCCTCCGTGGGTCATAGCCGCATCCCGGTAGAGCTGTCTGGAGGTGCCGGGCAGGGCATTAAATTGCGGTTGCGGCGGTGTCTGTGTCGGCGTCCTGGGGCTGGCCTGCAGGTCATGAATGGAGTTCCCCGAGCTGCTGGTCGCCAAGGCGTGATTGGGAGTCAGCAAATGCTTCTGCTCTGCCTCTCCCTCTTCTAATTCCAACTCCGTTTCGGATTCAGTTTCCCTTTTGGGTTCAGATTGTGGCACCTCCAATTCCGGTTTCAGTTTCCCTTCGCCCATGGGCCGGAGTTCGAGCTCCACACGAGTATCCATCTCTCTCGCTGACTTCTCTCTTTCTGCATTGCGGTTGGAAGGTTAGGTGAGGAGAAGCGGGGGAAGAGAAGAAGAAAAAAAGAAAAACGGATGTTGCAGTGCTTCTCAAACTGTACAAAAAGCAACAGCGCATTCAATTGCAGCTCTCTCTCTCTCTGTCTCTTTCTGTGTGTGAGTATATGGGTGGGTGAGTGGGAGTGGGAAGAGTGAGTGAGTGAGTGATTAAGCCAAGGCAACAATCGTCACGTTCGCCCTCATTGAACATTGCTTTGTATAAGTTGTGTGCTCTCCCTTCCGCTCGTTGTCGACTCTCAATAATTGTTAGCTTATCTTTTATTTGCGCAATGAGCAACAAAGGCAACAGAAACATCAAGGCAATGATTTTCTTTTATCTTTAAGTAAAAGTAATTGGCACACAGTGTTGCTAAAACTGTATACAGCCGCTCCAAAACTGTGCAAAACTGGAAATGCATTCCCATCACGGGGGTCACTATTTTTCCGGCCATTGCCAGAACCATAAAACCTATATGCAACTCATAATTTTGATTGTTTGCACATGGGAATTCCACACGCACACAGTCGCACAGCGTCCGGCGGACACGTACGGACATGCACACACACTCATTCCAAAATGAAATAAACAAATCAATGGCAAACGTTTTCTAAAAACACAAACAATTAAGGCAAAAATATATCAAAAATTTTGTTTATTATAGGAAAGTCATTATATTTTCAGCTTGTTTCGGAAAAGTGGAAAATGAAATCAAAATATGGCTACCTAGGGGGGAGGCGGGCTTGTTTTGGGTGAACTTGCTGGCTCGCGTGCGTTTATTTTTGGTAAATTGTCGCCAACACGGATACAACAGCATCTCCTATATATTTCTTTGCTTTCATCTTTTTTCGTTCAATAACAACGGAAAGTTTTTCCCCTACACATTTATTTAGTGAATGAATTAAAAATACACGTCTATATCTTTAGATATATGTGTATCTGTGCGTGTGTGTGTTTGAGTACATACAAATTTTGCCAAAGTCAGATAAGCTAGAAAATTATTAATATCATCGCCGATTTTTTAATTAATAACCGAAAAATAGCGAATAAATGACTGGCCTCTTAACAGTGGTAGTGCAAATGCGACTGTAATTGAGACTGTTAACCTTAACAGTGCCTTGAGCGAGCTGTTGGATATTTGTTGTTGTTTCTGTTGCTTTAGCTCTGATATTTGTTGTTGGCTCGCCTTGGATCATAGTTTTCTGTTTATGAGCTTGCAATTAAAGCGCTTTGCTTTTTAGTAAATTAATTATCGTACTTACACAGCAACTGCTCGCGTAAGGGGAAGGGGGTGTGGAAGGGAAGGTACCGCTGCGGTTGGAAAAGGTCAGACAGACAGACACTGCGAAATCCAGCAGTAAATACAATATTTTAGGCTCTCTCTCTCTCTCTTTTCCTTCCGCTCGCTCTCTGTGTGTATCTGCTGATGATCAAGGCGCGTTTTGTTCTCCTCCTTCTGTGTGTTTTGTGGTTGTTTTTCTTTTTGATATTTCCTTTTCAAATTCCGCTTCCAGTCGCCGTTGATAGATTGCTTTCATTATTTTACAACAGCAATCTCAACGAGTTCTCTGTGCGGATGTGTGCGGAGATGAGACTTCTGATGACGTCACGTGCGGCAACCGACAAATTCCTGTTCAGAAATGCGGCCAGCGCATTTTAGCGTTTCGAACACATACGCACACACACACATGCCACAAACACACATGAACGAACACACACACGACCGCTGAAAACACAACGAAAATCGCTTAGCAAATTTCACTGCAATTTTCTCCCGATCTTCGGAATTATTTCATCAATTTTATGGCTCCACAAATTTTTCCACAAAGTGAAAATAATTTTTTTTAGCCGTTCGCGCAGCTGAGATCAGTGTGACCGCGTATTTATTGATCGAATATACCGATTGACCCTCAGAAACAAACTGAAATATACCTTATAATTTTCATAATATACCGTAAATATACCAAGAAAAATACTTAATTTGCCCACTTAATCCCCTTATATTTTAACAGTTTAACACCTTGGGTAAAAACCTGGAAAATAATTAGTCGTTCGCGCAGTGTGAGGTAGGTGCGCAGTGTTGTCAAACGGCAGACAAGTGGCGACCTCTAGCATACGTGTATAGTACATGTAGAATGTATTCGGACGCGTGTAAAAAGACACTGTTACTAACGTAATTTAAATTTGAAAAATTATTGCTCTACGAACAAACGAAATGCGAAAATCTAATTAGAGACACCTCCTAGCCAGCGGCGGAATAATCCAATTAGATTAGAGCGACCGCAAAAATGAAGCCCGCCAAGGAGCTGACCCCAGCCCACCAACTCATCCACGCCGATGTCTGGTCGTTTTTTTTGGGGGTGGACGCCGGACGGCTCATTAGCACGCCCCGTCCCTGATTAAAAACCGCCCCTTAATCGATATTTATGGCCACCAGCCATGAGTAATTCAAATATACGGCGCTCATTAGAGGCCAAGGCGAGGAGATGGCATTAAAAATGTTTAGCTGGCAATCCGGTTCCGTTCCAGGGAAAACGCTCATTACAACGCGATTCCCAAATTGAATTTAATTGGACGAATGTTTAATAGTGTAAAAATTGATGTATGTACATTAAGTGCTTAACAGATAATTCACATTTTGAATTTCGTGCCAAAAAATTCCATCAATGTGATTGCTATTCATTAATTAAGAACAAAAGGCAAATAGAATTCATATGCAAATATGTACATAACAAATGGAGATGTTAGCCAGCAAGTTTTGGCCTTAACGAATTTAAAATTTATTCGCCAATTAATACTTTTAGGTGACACGGGGCCCAGCAAGAAGGAGATGGTGAAGGCTCATAATTTATGCAATGCACAGAACAGAAAAGCACAATGACAGAGACAACATCATCAACAACAGCGACAGCAGACAATCACAATTAACGGAACTTTTCCCATATGTGATATCTATTCAAATGTCCCCCCACAAAAAAGGCGAAGATAATGCCTAGATAGGAAAAGAGAAGACCAAAAGTCTGACAAAGGTATTAATACCCTACAAAAGAGAATACGAGAGGATAGCAGTTTGGAGAGAAAATCAAATGGAATAATAAACTTAAGTTCTGCCTCGTTGAAAATGTTGTAATCCCTGTCAATAGGCCCTCTCATTGGAATATATTCGAAATTGTATCGTAAAAACTGCATTCAGCGAACGGAAAAAATTGAACTGCAATTGTTAATAAGAATAATTAAGTTAATATGCATTCAGGGCAGAAGTGGAGGAGAATGATTGAATTGCACACGTATCTGAAGAGGCACTTGTTGGAAATGATGGGGGAGAGCTGTCTTTATTTATAGCCGCCACCCGCTTAATTAACCGAAATTTAAAGCCAAACCATTTCGAAATTGAATGGCAGACCGAAACCAAAGTGCTCATTGATTAATCCGCCATTGGGCCATAATCATTTTAATAGTTTTGACATTTAAATGACAAATTAAAATGGAATAAATGCAAAATAAGCGTAATAAATTTTAATTGCTGTATCACCCCCTTGCCTAGCCTATATCAACCCCTTTGCTGTGGCAGCTGTTGCATTGATTATAATGAAAATTATTATTTATTTATTCGTGCATTTTTGTTTTTGTTATTGCATAATTAATTGTTGTCGTTCGAGTGGCAAACAATTAAATAATAAATCAGATTTTAAGCATTCGTTCAATTATGTAAAAATAGTAGTAGCGCTGTGGGGATGAGTCAGATGAGTGCATAAAAGAATCGGCGAAAAAAATGGACAATTATAGGGGCTACACTAACCATAAAACAATTGACAAAAGCCTGTTAAATAGAACTCTGCCTTTGTTGCACAATCGAGTGGGGAGAACAAAGCTCGAATTGCAATTGCAACAATATGTATATGTCGCCCCCCTCCCACTACCCAACTACCACCACCACAGTCCACCTGAAAGTTCGCCCCCCATTTACGGCGGTAGTGGCGGCATTTCGGCCTGACATTTCATTTCATTGCTTTTCAATGGAAAATCAATAAAGTAATCCAAATTAAACATTAATCCCATTCAATTAGACAATCATCATTGCTTTGGCATTTCCCCATCTAACGGTAGCAACAGCACTAATGCTGTCGACGACACCAATTGTCATTGATATCGATCTGAGTGGAGAGTGGATGAAGTGGATGGCAACAGGAGTGGCAACAGGTGACTGACTTTAGACTGGTTTATACGTATGTAGCTGGAACCCCTCTGCGAGCGGGGCGTGTAGTCCGGCCTTAATAACACCTCTGTCTGTGCTTGTGCCTGCCTGCTGGATGGAGCAATGCGTGCCCTGGGGCCACTCTAATGTCCAGTATTTAACACTCTAATGGAGCCATCGGCGGCCTCTCAATTGAAACCGCGAAACGGTCGCAAAGTGGTCTCTAATCGAATGCCAGCCTGGTCCGTAAACTGAATTAAATTTAATCTGAAGTTGGTAGATTGGATTAGGACTACAGAATTTATAGATTGATTCGTATTTATCTCAGGTTTAGTATTATCCTAGTAAATAGGTCACTCCTGTTGTACTAATTTCTGGGAAATACCTTTGCTGTGAGTCTGATTCACAGCTCACATATCTTTCGAACCCCACACACATATCCGAGACTGTTCCCTTACATAACCCAATTAAAATTATCTAAAGCCTTTGCTTACTCACTTCACAACCGCCGCCGCCCCCCATACACGACCGGAGATCAGTCACCTTCTATACCCCCTTTTCCCCACCAATTACTATATCCAACAACTGTATCCACTATAGGTATCCCAGTGCTGAATGCGCGCACACCCCACAAAGCTCATTCATGACTCATCTGGGGATCTACGTTATGAAGAACATTCCGAGACACAACAAAAACAACCACAAGATATAATGTGGCTGGCTTGCTGACGACGCTTGGACGCTCCTGAGTCATAAACGCAGCTCTGATCTGAACAAAAACAAAGCTTAAGAGTTACATTAAAGTGTACACAGCGACAGTGTACAGGATTAGCACTTTAGTTACAATCACATTTAACAAACACATCCTCAAAGTCTTGTCCCGGACCGATGTGTCCATCCAAGCGAGCTTTCGCTGTAGTCTATTGGGGTTATGAAAGGGGCGTTGATGTATTTAATTACAAGGGGCGTATGCGAAATTGTATTAAATATTTGAGTTTATTGATAAGGGCCCATTGGGGTCACTGGGGGGAGGCCATAAACAGTTGTAGATGTTAATGCATGTGTTTTTCTCTGTTTCCGTACATTCCATATTCGATTTTATGGCGGCTCCGACTTACCGTTTTCTTGTTATTTTTATATTCGATAAACAATGCCGAGGTAATCCTCCGTTTAATGCTGCTCCGTTGTTGTCGTCCGTATGCGGGATAGATAGTAAATTTTATATTTCAAGCACGTGTCATTTGATTAGTTTTGGTCACCAAACACTCGCGGAGATAGGGGCAGGGGAGTATGTCAGGTGGGGGGTGGTCGATGTCACCGTCACACACACAAGAAGCTTAAATAGTTCTACACAGCACAAACGGTAAACATATAACTTAAACACGAAAACGCGAACGAAAAAGAGAAGAAACGGAAAACTCGCGACGATCTCCCAGACGATCTGCGTTGTTTGAATGTTCCAAGTCGAATGCGGCGTCTCGAATTCGAATACGGGCGGCTTTGCGCACTCGCAGTCGACAATACCTGGGTGCAGGGTATATTCGGAAAAGGTAAGGCGTGCCTTCATCCCTACTTCTTGCTCTCACAGCCGTATGCTCTCTGAAACATTCCTAGCCAAGGTATGCTAATAAGTCTATCTATATCTGACGTTCAAATTATTTATCCAGAAAGCGATCAGAACTATAGAGCATTTAGATTATTCGAGTCTCGAATAAAGGGACCTCACCTTGTATACATACACCTTGGGGTGCTATCAGCAGCTGCTGCTCTCTCTTTCTCACCCCTGCCAGCTCTTGTTGTTTGTTTAATCATAACGCATACGTATGTACATACGTTTCGCATAATGCAGCGCATTGTTCGCTTTGTCGCCCTGCCGCTCCCGCTGCTGTTTTCATCGTGTTGTTGTTGCCGTAGTTGGTGGTGGATTTTCTTTTTGTTTCTGTTTCTGTTTCGGTTTCTTATCACTCTCTCGCTCTGGCCGCCGCTCCCTCTCCCTCACCACACACTCTCTGACTTCCAGCACAGCTGTTCGAAACCGGTAGCATTTCGAAGGTGAGATCTCTCTCGCTTGCTCTCTCTCTCTTTGATTTAAATCTGTCTATCTCTGTTCTAGGCATGCGCAGCTGTCTGAGATTTGTTTTCTTGATTATCTCTTCTTTCTGTTCCGATTGAATGCAAATTTGTAGCCCATCTTCGAGAGGGTTGTTCTTTGGCGCCGTCGCACCCCCTTTTCGTTGCAACATGGTGAAATTGCGCAAGCAGAGCGGCTCCGATTGTCCATTTTGGCCGCTGATAAGATTACCACGAAAAGCCCAAGGGCCAGGTAAAAATGTTGCAAGTATTAGGGCGACTCATACCTGATTGATCTGAATCGATAAAACTAATATATGGCCCAGGGCTTTCGTAACACTTATTTTGTAGACTCCCACCGCCCCCTCACGAGGCAGTAATCGAAATCAATTAAGCAATCGAACAATTGGTGCAAATGTTCGGGATCGCCCACCTCTGGAAACAATGTAGAGCAGCCCACACTTTTTAATACGCTAGAAGGGAGTAGGTAATATAACTTTATTGAGAAGCTTGCAAGCCAGAAATAAGGCTATTTTTTACATTGAATATATTTATTTATATTCTTGATGCCGCTGTCCATCAACCTGTTTCTATGTATCACTTTCGAACCATTAAAATCGGTATTTAAGGGTATGTAAAGCTTCGCCAGAGGTCTTCTTGCCTCGTTTTCTGTGTTACACATATTGCTTTTGACAATTTCAAAGCAATTTTCAAATGACGAAAGTAGTGAAAACAATTGGGATATTCCAGAGCGTGTGTCGCTTGTGTGGAGCAACTGTAAGCAAATTAAACTCGAAAACAACTGAAGAGAAGGTGTAGGAGCTACAGCAAGAGAGAGGAAGAGACGCTCCAAAAAAGTTCAGAGTGCATACGAAAGGAATTTCCCCCATTCATTGTCAATGTAATTTGTCAGTTCAAAGACCCCAGCGACACGAGGACTAGTCCTGCCCGGGCTGCACGGGTCCTACGTGCAAGATGTTTACATGTTTGGCCTGTGCCAGCGCTGCATTGACAAATGTGCCGAGTGTGCGAACGTGCGCCCAAATACGAGTACCCGTACCATATCCTACGAGCAGATCCCGAGTCGAGTGCAAGTAAAAAAAAATGTAATCAATGTATTTTTGTCACGTTAACCAAATCCACGGGTCTCGGTCGGGGCAGCACGAGCAGCTGATGCAGCTGCCTCGCAAACAGTTCCGCTTCCTTCGCCAGGATACACAGAAAACATAAATTCTGCCTGTCTGTCTCCCGTTCTGTAAATTTGCACGGCTACAACGACAAAAACAACCAAAACTGGAGCTACAGCTGAAGGAGAAGAATGAGTCGAAATCCCAGACGGCACAAAGGATTGTTAGAGGCGCACGGAGAAATGTCACTTCGTTCGGCAGCAATTATCCCTGGAGCCAGCCTTGCTTGAATGAGTGGAAGGAATGAGCAGTTACTGGGACTCGAACCGATTTCTATGCGGCAGCTGTCGAGGCCTTGGCGCGAGCTAGTCTGCGATTGCAGCACAGTGGGCACTCGCTAGCTGCAGACAGATGGCTGTGATTGGATCGGTGAAAGAGGTTTAGAGACATATAAAAGGGATGTGGAAGGGCTGTGGTAATGCTGCGCTAGCTGCGATTCCCAAAGCTCATTTCACTCACATAGCGACGGCCCACTGTACTCATTGCCGTGTGCGAGTTACCGTTCAATTGCTCAATCGCATGCCAGCTCTCTCTAGCGCTCTCCCTATCTCTCTCTCTCTCTCCTCTCTTTGGCAGTGATGTGTGCCTTATGCCACGACTTCCTCCTCGCATTCACCCCCCGAAACAACAACAGTCGAAGAAAACTTAAGTGCATTTGTGCCCCTGTATGTCGCGTCGTCTGCCAGCTGTCTGCACCCCCCGGTGGCTCTGTCTCTGTCCCGCTCCCACCCTCATCAGTAATTAAGTCGGGCATTATCGCTGGGGCAAACATTTTCGATATGCAGCGTTGGTAAAATTTATGGGCAAATGCATTTTTTGGCTATTTATAGACCGCACTAATAGTGGCACGCAGAGTTCATAACCTAGCCCATGCATAACTCGGTTTTCCCATAGCCGAATGCTATCGAAACTTTCACAATGGCATAGATTACTCGTACGAGATATAGTAGGCAGGTACTGTACGTTTCCTATTTGAGTTCTTTAAGTAATTAAATCTAACCGAAATAGCGATAGGTATTGATGAGTAATAACTTAAAGTAAAGTACCTTTAAGTATGTGCGATATAGGGGCCCTACCCATATGTAACTCAGCGGCGGCTTTAATGAAGATAGTCAGAAAATTAGCAAAACTGCAAGGTGGAGCCAGATACAAATTTATAGCTCTATCTATGAAGATATATGTATGTATGTACTATGTACATACATATGTACATATTTATTTTATCAAAGAGCAAGCCAAGCTGATTGGACTTTTGGCCACATACTTGCAGCATGAATTCAAAGTGCTCTTTAAAGACTGAACCTCCCTGCAATGAGTCACCGCCCCGCTTATTCGCAAACTCTGACTGTGTGTCAGCAGGGGAGAAAGAGAGATCGCCGCCGTGATTAACTGTCTCTCTGACAGCGCAGCGCCGATTCACCTTTCGATTTGCCGAGCTGGCTGAAAAACCTGAGAGAGAATAAATGCGAAACAGACATTCGAATCGAAGCGGAAATTCGACTCCTGGCAGGCGCCTCGAATTGCATTTTGCGCCTTCTCAGCTTTTTCTAGCTGCTTGCTGCTCCTTTCCTTATCGCAATCGGCGTCGCTGTCGCTGTTTGCGTCGCGACTGTGTCATCAGAAAGTGATATAAAGAGCATGGCAAAGCAGTAAAGAAAATAATTTAACGACACCCAATGAAATCACAAAAACAGCAAGAAAATAATGGTATCTTAGGGGGCCGAAGATTCGATACCCTTACGAATCAGTGAGAGAGGATCTTATTTGGAACCGGATCGTGTAGAATAAATGCTTCTAAGTTAAAACTTTACGCAATTTATGTATATATATTTTTCATGTCCTTCTTTGAGTTGCAAACATCTAATCAAGCCAATCATGCCTCATGCAAGGGTATAGCCACAGTAGCAGCAGCAACACGAGAAAGATAGCAAAGCGACAGTGACGCCAGCAGAGGCAGTGACAGCGGCAGAGCAACAAGTAAAGTCAGATGTTTACCTTGAGTCCGTTGGGCGGGCTGCGTAACAAGCGGCTGTTCTAAAGTTTCTGCAGCTGCGCTGCGCTCTCTTATCAGCTGAGAGTGCATTGACATTGTTGCTGTCGCAGAGAGCTTTGGGAAGTGGAATAAGCCAGGCCAGTGCTGCTAGCGCGCTGCATTAGCTAATGCAAACTGGTCACAAAGAGGGGGAGCAAAGAGATGAGATGAGACAAGAAAAAATGAGATGAGATGAGACGTTTCGCTGTGTGTCTGATTCCATTCAATCAAGCTCAGCGTAGCTAATTCTTCTCTGCTGCTATCTCTCTTCTCTTTGTGCACATCTTTTCTCTGCTGGCTCTCCAGCATGTCGTCTCCGTCTAACCAGCCTTGACCGTATGCATGATCCAAATCCCGTTATATTGTCATGAGTTTTCTTTTGCCTTTGCAAGCGCTCTGGTTTGTCTTTCGCTCCCTTTCAAGTGGGGCTGCTGGGCTGCTTATTAAGTCATAGCCAAAGCTGAAGGCAAAGTTCAGAGGCACTTGGCGCCCACATAATGCAGCGCGTTTAAGTTTGTCTCAAGGGTATGGATGCAGGCGGTCACCACCCCGCAGCTTTTGTTGTGTGCATAAGTATGTACATACATGTATGTATGTATGTATGTATGTTGGTGTGTTCATTGTCATAATTTACTATTTTAGTAGCTTGCGCACACACACACGCAAAAATAGCGGGAAGAGAGAGAGAGAGAGAAAGAGAGACAGCCACTCGAGCCCCATTGTTGACTTTTGTTTTAACGCCTTGCACACACACAGACACATACTTCACCACACGCCGCCCCCTCAACACGCTTCACTTGACGCACATTGTTGTTTAAACTTGTGCGCTTGGGAAAAATCATACAATTTATAAGTGTTGAGCAACGACAACAAGAACAGCACTGATGTTGGCCTATCTGCAAAGCGGCAACAACCA